CAGTGGAGAATTGAATTCTCAAACCTCGGGCTCGCAACCAGGGACCTAAACCATTGAACTGTCCAATGGTTCTATATTGTATTTAAAAACCTGTATTGATCCCGCAGGCCTTCTCTGGTGCTCTCTCTTTGCATATTTGGAGTCCCTAAGGAATCCCTTAAAGGCCATCTCGAGCCGGCCAAAGAACAGAGGAAAGGGTCGGGGGGATCGCCTCTGTTCCTGGTTTGGCTCACTGTCTCGAGCTGACCGGGAAATGTTTGGTTTTTAGACACCGGATGGCATGTGTATCTTAGTGAGGTTTAGCCTGCTCATGGGTTGCGAGGGTGCATTTTGCTAAAAAGTCACAACCAAGCAGGCACAGGGGAAAAAACCCCAACAAAAACCTGCTTTTGACATGGTCAGATCATGTGATGGTTGAAACAGGACAGCATGCTTCCCCCCCCCCCCTTTTGTTAACTGTGCACTCTTGACAGCGCAGGAACAGTGCCAAACAGAGTTGGTAAACAGGAACGCCGGTCAGCGCTTCGGAGCCCACTCCCCACGGACCGGCCGTCCCCTCCCTCTCTTCCCTCCACCTTCAGCATCCCCAGGAGGAGGATGAACGTTTTGCTCCAGATCCGGCCAGCTGTTCTCCCGGGGGGACTTGCTGGAAGACAAGAAAGCAGTGTTGAAGGAGCCAGAGCATCGCCCCGAAGGAAGGAAGGTCACCCCTGGTTTTTGAGGCAAGCCCTCCGTAGCGCAGCCGGAAGCTTCCCCCTCCCCACTCCCGCCACCGCCGGCCATCTGTCAGGTGCGCAGGCCGGAGAGCCATCTAGGAAGCGCTCGGCCTCTTTCCCAGCACGCTTGAGTGGGCTGGGGAGCAGGATGAGATCCTTCCCACACAGTTCCCAGAGGCAGAGGATAAGAGACGTCCCTCTGTTTTCGTCTGAGAGTTCGTTTTGCTTTGAGCGGGAGATGGTTTGGGTGAGTGCACGCGGCCGTCCAGTTGGCTTTTTGGGGCGGGTCAGCTGGGGAAAATTTGGCAAGTGACCTCTGAAACATGACCTTCAACATTACTTTTCAAACAACAATCCTGAACAATTAGGAACCGATTCCTGGAAAACAAGGCCGCTGAGGAAAGAGTGAAAGAACTGGGCATGTTTAACCTTTAGAAAGGAAGACCAAGGGGAGATATTGGCATCACTTTTCAAATACTTGAAAGGCTGTCCTACAGAGGAGGGGCAGGATCTGTTCTCGATCATCCCCGAGTGCAGGACATGTCAGAATGGGCTAAAGGGACAGGAAGCCAAATTTCAGTTGAATATCAGGAAAAACTTCTTGACTGTTAGAGCAGTACGACAACAGAGCCCAATGACCTCGGGAGGTGGTGAGCGCTCCAGCGCCGGAGGCCTTCAAGAGAAAATGGGACAGCCATCTGGCAGATCTGGTTTGATTCGGATTCCTGCATCGAGAAGGGGGTTGGACTTGATGGCCTTTGTTGTTGTTTAGTCATTAAGTCGTGTCCGACTTTTCGTGACCCCATGGACCAGAGCCCACCAGGCCCTCCTGTCTTCCACTGCCTCCCAGAGTTGGGTCCAATTCATGTTGGT